TTTTGTGCTCCAAAACAGCTTGTCGAGGAGGGAGCCCCACTTAAAAGCAACCCAAAACCTCTAGTTGCTCCGTCGTTTCCCGCTGGGATCGGGACAGGGACCCAGGACAGTTTTGTGGCTCCAGCAGGGTTTTTTCAGCGCGGATATTTGTTTCTTAAGATGCTTTAACGCCGATATTTGTTTCTTAAGATGCTTTAACGCCGCTCTGGTACCCACCTGCATCTCCCAAGGGCCCCTGGTTGTGTCCCGCAGCAATGTTTTTAATCAGTGTTTTAACTAACTTGCATTTTATGTGGTTTCTCGGGACGGTGTGGAGGAGAACAAGCACATTTTGGGGAATGATTAGCCAAGGCTGTAAAATTCTTCTTCGTTAAGGTCTTTATTTTAAGCAGTCTTTTATATTCGTGGTTTAATACTCAGGGACTTTGAGAAGGTTTAAGTGACCGGACCGAGATGCTACCTTTACTGCAAGCACAGATTTCATTGCTTTCAGAGCAATAATATTAAGAAATGTGTTAACTGGATAGTAATCCCTTCTGCCTTGCTCAGCAGAAGTCTGGGTTTGGTTAAAATGCTTAAATGGGTAAAAAAAAAAAAGTTCTCCTTGAGTCTGGGAGCTAATGTGCAACAGAGCCTCCTGATGCCATCCGCGGAGCTGGAAAATCCAGTGCCAACAGCTCAGATATAGTCCATAAATGGGATTTACTGTTGATGTTGAGCAATATTCCCTCACTGTGGTCGGGGGAGCCCCTAAGGAACTTCATTCAGGTGCAGCTACCCCAAGCAGATGGGAAGAAAATCGGGAGATTCCGCGTTTTTGAATCGGGAAATTTGGAATGTGCGGATGCGCGGAGCTCTGCTGGGTGCCTGCGTGGAGAGTCTCCGTAACTCCATGTTGTGCAACGGAAGGAGTTTGGACAGTCTCTAATTACATAATCTTTAATAATCTTTAGATAATTAGCAGGATAGGCTTTCCCCATCGTGGTAAGCAGGTTTTCTGGGGAAAGCTCGTTCAGTAGCAAAGCTGCCAGGGGATTATCCAGAAGTGCTTTTTAGAAAGCCTGCTACGGGGCTCTAAATGAAAGAAAATAATGGTTTTATTTTATGAATCATCTCATCTAAACAGAAGCTGCTGCCGAAGGGGAAAGTCATTCCCACCCGTGCTCCATAGCGGCCCTCGAAGCCCCGCATGATCCATAGGGAATGTCCCCGCTGCCGGAGGTAACGCACTCCTTCCTTGCGATGGCTCCGTAGGCGTTTTCCATCCCAACCTCCATGATCCTCCGAGCTTTTCCCCTTTATTTTCCCTTTATTTTTTAATTTATTTTTTCATTGTAAAACACAAATTGCCCCTTTGTTGCCTAAGCAACTGGAAGCAAAATGGGAAGAAGCTCTCCTCTCGTGGCTGCGTTGTCATGGAGGAGGAGGATGATGGTGATGCTGGTCCAGGTTTTCCTTGAAGCAGTCGCCCCGCAGTGGCTGTCACCTGCAGGACGAGTGACACATTCCCAGATTACCTGATTGCTGACACTTGGTCTGGTTGAACCACGGGAACAAGAGGAACGGTTGATGGCACTGCACCATGATTCGGTCCTCACGGAGGTCACCCCAATCCTGCAGCACACTTTAGGTGAGATTTTACAGTATTTTAGGGCAGAATCCAGTGGTTTTGCTCTATCCAACCTCGGTGCGGTGCTGAGAGCACCTCAGAGGTACCCAGGTTTGCAGCCTGCAGGACATCTCCATGTGGAGCTCAGGAACCAGGTCTTGATTTTCCCATGTGCTTGGACATGGCTTTGGACCAGCTCGGACACAGAAGGTCCCGCGGGTGCAAACAGCCTCAGCCAGACCCATCTCCAGCTCTTTCCAAAGGAAAACTCCGAAGGGTTAAAGCGTTGGAGCCGGGAGCTCTCCTCCTTGTGACCTTCTGGCTGCAGAGCCGGAATCTTAAACACCTGGGGCTTTAGTCGGAGTTTTGGCTCGGTGAGCCGCCTTGCCAGGATTACACATTAATTTCAGGCATGTGAAACTGGGCCCTAAACGGGTTGGGACGGTCCCTTTCTAGAAACGATAGGATCTGGAAATCCGAGCGTGTAGCAGGGGATTAAGAAGACAATAGGAGCTACCGGGAACGGGACGGCCGAGGCTCCGGTTTCAGGTGGAAAAATGGGGCAGGATACGGAGATCTGGCCCGGCACGATGGAAACGCTGCCGTTGGGTCTCCACGGGGCCTCCTCCATCCCCATTCCCACCCGCGGGCGGATCGGGCTTTTCCGCAGGGTGTCACGATGGGGGATAGCGGTGAAACGTCCTTTGGAGGGACCTAGGAAGGGCCACGCGGTCGTGTCCGTCACATCTTGCAACATCGTTCCCTTCATTTTTGCCTTGGTAGACGAGCGAGGAGAGCTCAGCAGCCGACTGAGGAGCTTTTCCATTGGAAAAAGCGCTGCGGGAACGACCGGAGAGCTGCAGGGATGGCAGATAGGCCGTGTTGCTTTACGTGCCTGCAGCTGCTTGGAATTGCGTTCCAAACTGGCTCCGTTGCTCCAGGTGGATCCGCATGGCCAGCACGTTCACGTGGGCCTTTAATTCCAATGGCTCCGGCTTCATCTTTGCCACAAAAAACCCTCCCTTTTTCATGGAGAGCTACTGGAATGGGCCATCCCATGTGAGATCCTCATGGAAAGAGTAGCCCCCGCCTTGGTGCTGAGATTCCGGTCATTTCCTCCTCCTTTTGGGCTCCTTTCGTGATAACTTCAATAACTCGCGCTTTAGGGAAGGTGGAAATGCAGAATTCCCTCGTGGCCTTGAGCAGCGCGTTGCATTTCCCACGTTGTATCCCATCGAATTCCCAAGCACCCTCCGTGCCAGCACCTGGCTCCAGCATCACCACCCCTCATTTCGGGATGTTCTGCATGGAAACAACCCTGGATATAGGGACAAAACACGGCAGGATTCGACCTCTCCCGTTGGAGCAATCCAGCGCCGCAGCGGAGCGGACACCCGGAGCGGAGCGAGGAGCAGCCTGACCCTTCCAAGGACACACGTGGTGCCACCAGCGGGGCAGGGGGCAGCTGGCACCATTAAAAACCGCTTTGCCGTGGGCCAAATGCCCCCCGCGCTCCGCTCGCTCATTAGTTAATTTTGTCCTAATGAGGCTCTGCGAGGGACTGGGGAGAAGGGAGGTGGGGGGGGGGAACCCGAGTGAAAAAGAACCTAATTAGCAAGTTAATTATAGGGAGCAAGGAAATGTGCTGGTTACATAAATAAGCTTTTGTTATGCACGCACAAGCCGGGCCCTTCCCAAGGAGCGGCCGGAGCCGGCCGTGCTTCCCGGGACGCCTCATTAAATCCCGGGGTCCTGGCCTGCCAAGAAGGGCCCTGGAGAGGGAGCCTGCGAATCCGGGGCCTTCCCCTCACCTTCCTCCTTCCTCCACCCTCTCCTCCACCCCGGAGCTGAAACCGGAGCGGCCGGGATCGCGGCCGGCCGGGAATATAAAGGAATGGGCCGCGGCGGCCGGCGGGCCGGCCCTAGGTAAGAGCGCCATGCTGAGCAAGAAGAAGTACAATGTGAACGGGGATCCGGGGATCAGAGGCCAGGTGAGGGCCGCCCGCAGGCTCCTTCGCGTCCCTCTCCGTGCCTTCCCGCCCGGTTTTCCGCTTTCTTCCCGTGCTCTTCCCCCGGATCGCTCCCGTGTGGGTCGGCTCGTGCCTTCCCCGTGCCCTGGGTTCCCTCTGCTTTTCCAGCTTGGATCGTTCTTCCTGCTGGAGGGACGTGGCTGTTAAAGGCAACATCCGTGGAGCAGGCTGGCTTCCCAAATCCGAGTAATCCAAGTTCCCGAACGCTTCCCGCTCTACCATTTGAGCAGGAACTCATGCAGGGGCGTCCGGCTGGAGCAGGGACCGTGTGGGACGTTCTGGAGCCCGGGCTGCCCGTTGCACCGGATTCCTGAGCTGTCCAGGCTCCGACATCCCCTCTCATGCACAGATATCCCTCGGGAAGCGCCGCTGGATAAATACCCTTACGTATTTATCCTCGTATATACAAATTTATTACTCCTTATGCAGGAGGCGCGGGACAGAGGAGCATGAACGTTGCTCCTTGCGGCGTTCCGGGCTCGGCGCGGAGCGGCGAGTGCTTTGGGAAGCCCTTGGGCCCCGGCGGGGTTGGTTTTCCGTGGATGCCATGGGGGGTTTCCTGCCTCATTTTCCCTCCTCCTCATGATCCAGCCTGTCTGCAGCAGCCACCGGAGACACCTTTCCCAGCACCTTTCCCAGCACCTTTCCCCTTTTCCCTGCCGTCTTCTCCGGGCTCCGTGACGCTGCGGAAACCTCCGGGCTCACATTGGAGTTCCCAGGAAAGAGCTGCAATTCCGCAGGGCTAGGAGACTTCTTTAACCCGCGCTGACTTCTCCGCAACCCCTCCAGCCTTGGGTAATAGACTCAATTTTCAGTAGGGTGGAGATGTAAATATTTAATCCCGTCGCGCCAGATGGAGTCACTTTGTGCCCACAGCAAAATCCAAGGAATTCTGCAAGTGGGAGTTAGGTTTCTAGGTTCCACGGAGGTGCAGCACAAGGGTGAGAAGTTAAAATGCTTAATAAAAGCGTCGGCCTGTGTGCTGTGTCACCAGGGACGGGACAAGCAGGGGCTGTGACACGTGTCACAACTCGTGAGGGTTCTCTGCAGTCCCAGGTGGGAGGTTGTTATTGAAGCAACGAGGGGAATGAGACAACTTGGAGCTTTCTCTTGTGGATGGCCTGAGAACAGGGTGTTGTTGGGGACATTTCTACTGCAAAACCCCTATAACTTTACCCTTAAAGGCGTCAAGATAAAAGCGTCACCTCCTCACTTGTCCCTTCGTCCTCTGCACACTTTGGAGCAGATCTTTGCACACTCAAGTTTTCCTTTGCATTCTCGGAATTCATCTTCTGTGTCAGATTATTGGGTTTGGTTTTTCCTTTGCATCCCGTTTAATCGGAAATGTCTCTCCACAGATCCAGTTTGCCGACCAAAAGCAGGAGTTCAACAAGCGCCCCACGAAGATCGGTCGCCGCTCGCTGTCCCGTTCCATCTCGCAGTCCTCCACAGACAGCTACAGCTCAGGTTGGTGCCGTCGCATCCTCCTCCGCTCTCCTTCCCAAACTGCCAGGTTTTTGCCATACATTTCGCTCCGGAGCAGCTCCGAGACCTCCCGATTCCCCTTCTCAGTGAGTGCTGTTGGAGGGAAGACATGGGAAGAGACTTGTTGCTTTTTTCTCATCTGTAGTCGGATGGAAGATTAAAAGGATTTCTTAAGCAGGATCTAGGTTTAAGCCAAGGTTTAAGTTTCTGTGTTTTTCTTAAAATCTCCAAACTGTAACCACAGTTTCTACTGGGCTTCCTCCTCCCCTCCGCTTTCCCTCTCTTGCAGGCCCAGCAAAGGGTTGTCTCAGTCGCATCCGTGCTTGCGACTCACTTTTCCTTCGGGTTTCCCTGCTTTTGGCTAAATCAGCGTGGAATCCGCCCTGGGTTCCCACTCCTTGGGAAATCACAGTCTCTGGAAGGCCACACGTGAAGGCCACACACGTGGGTCTTGCTGGTGTCTGCCATGGGACTCCTAGGGAATGTCAGACTTTGCTGCTCTTACCTGTACGTACAGCAATTTCTGGAGAGCTTGGAAGGTTTATTTACTGTTTTGTTTTGCTTTTAATTTCAAGGATATTTTGGGGCTTATTTGTGAATAACTAGAATTTTTGAAATTTGTTTATGAAGATTGGCTCTGGAGAGACTTGGTTTGCCCAGACTAAAGTGTGGTGGTTGTGCAGCAAAGTTCCAGCCTTGCTCTCCCCTGCAGTCCCACAAGGTGCACTGAGGTTTTACGGTGAGCTCGGGTTCTCCTTTGCTGTCTTCGAGCACGTGCCAGTTCCCGATCATCCAACTGCAGCTCCGTTTGTGGCACAGTCCATGAACATTCCTTAAAACCCTAAGCAAGACTTAAGCGCGTCTGGAAAACCTCAGTTTTATTCAGGGTCCCATTCTTCAGATGTTTGTTGTTTAAAGATGATGCCAACAAAGAAGAAAAGGTTGCATGGAGACCTGATAACACAATTCCAGGTGGGAATTGGTGTTGGTTCCTCGCGGATGGAGCGCGGAGGAGGCTGCTGAGCCCTGCCTTGGCTTCGAGGGTGAGTGCAGAAGGGCTCCCTGCACCCTGGAAATGCTCCCTAGCACCGGTGTCTTCAGCAGATGAGTCACGGCCTCGGAGGGGATTCGGTGTCACTGCATTTCCCAGGCCTTAGCGGTGTCACCGGCTCGTTCTGTAACACACGATGCCCTCCAGTGGCATCTCCTGCTCAATCCACCCTACCAGACAAGTGACACCAAGGAGCGCCAGGCTGGGCACCAGAGCAGTGTCACCCCTCGGGGCTTCTAGTGCTTGTCACCGAGTATGTCACCAAGTGCTGTGACTGTTTTTGGAGAACTTAGGTCACACTGGAAGTAGTTATGAGAACTGCAGGCTTTTCAGTCCTAACAGCTGCTGTTCCAGAAGGGAATTCGGATCCGGTTGCTGGTCCCTCAAGGAAACAGAATGTGTCTGTTCCTCTCCTGGCCCCAGAACCTTGCCCATACCAAGAAGATGCAGCACAAGTGGCAGCAGAACGAAGCCTTCCCACACCTGCAGCTGCAGGAGGTGTTTTCTTTTTTGCCACCCTTGCAGCTTTCGACTCCACCTCGTTGCTGAACGGAGCGGGGCAGGACCTGAGTGTTTGCACGGGGCTGTACGTGTTTCTAAGCTGCTTCCATGGGCCCTACAGTGCCCAGCCGTGGCTTTGGGTTAGCCCACGAGATGGACCACGGGTTGTGGCCACCTTGGCACAGAGGCGAAGGGGTTTGGGTGCGAGCTGGACTGCGCTACGTCACGGAGTGGTCCCTGCCCTCTTATATCACGATATGGCCCGTGTGGGTGCAGCTGAAGCTGATGCTCGTTTGAAGTCTTCCTCCTTATTTCTGTGGCCTTCCAATGAGGGCAGCTTTGGGGAGCAAACAGCCGGAAGACGACACGTGCTCCCGGGAATTCCCGGGGCAATTCCTGAGATGGAGCTTGGGTTTGTACAAACCCTTTCCTGCCGTTCCTGGGGCCTCGGCAGCGTCCGGAGAACACGTGCGGAGCAGCGCGTGAGGATGCGGGAACACGGAGCTGCCCTCTGGGCCGGCGAGCAGCACATTCCGGGCGGGATATCCCCTCTAAAGGGGGGGATATTCCCTCTAAAGGGGGAGCACGCTCCTCGGGCAGGATTGAGGGCCAGGAGCGACACGGCAGGTCTCCGCAGCGACGTTTTCCGTAGCTCTCCCATCACCTGCTGGAAATGGACCTTGTGCCCGGGAGAGCGGTGCCAGATGCACAAACCTGCACCTGAACCGTGGCTGGGGCCACAATCCATGTGCCGACCTGATATTCCTGATTCCCATGTGCTTCTCCACTCGTTTCTGCGGATTGTCAGGATATCGGGATGAAGCAGGACAAGATCCCACTGTGTTAGCTCCTGATATTACAGGAACATTTTCCATCTCACGCCATGGCTGTGGTTGCACCCAAGGGCTTTGCAGGAGAGGATCATTGTGTGCTGTATCCACGGCACAGGACTGATGTCCAGGCTCCCTTCCTGCTTCCTAAACCACTTGGATCATGTTTCTAACATTATCAACTTGGATAACAGCATTAATGATTAGACTCCCCTAATCCAGGTCCGTGATTCATGTAACTGATAGGCAGGATGGAAGACATCTGCTCCCAGGACAGTTGCAGTACGGATAGAAATAGAATGACAAAATATCCAAGACGAGAGATACTGATGGGATTTATTTTCTTCCTCTGCCGTGAGCTGCTTGGCCCCGACGTGGGCAAATCGCTTCCATTTCTGTAACTGTTATTTCCCCCCACGTAGTCCTTATCTGCCCCTAAGAAAGATTTGGGGGATTAGTTAGCATCAGGGTGGCACTCGGGACATGAAAATTCCCAGCATTGTGCATTGTGCGCAGCGTGCGCGGGAAGGGGCCGCTAGGAACAGATTAGGGCAATAAATCCTTAATAAAGGCGATTGGCTTCATCCTTAGGCTCTTTCCTAACTTTGCAGCAGCTATATAGACAAGAAACGGGGTTTGTCTGTGTATCCTGGAGCAGAAGCGTGAATCGGAAGGGCAGGATTCCCTTCTCTCCTGCTCTTACTCATGGCAGTCCGGCGGAGGGGAGGGAATCCTAATCCCAAGGATCAGCAGAGCATCCGCATGGGAGAGCCTGGCTACCAGCTAGGTTTATTTAACCTCAGCTGCAAAACCTGTGTTCAGCCCCAAAACTGAGATCTGGGGTTTTAAAGAAACCTCTGCCCAGATTACCTGTCTTCAAGGAAGTGATTCTGCTTTTCCTAATTAATCCTGGTGTCCTTGATACCAGTATTAGCCATTACACAACGTGCTCTTTATTAAGACAAGCGTCCAGCCTCTCCAGAGCTCCTAGAAACACGTTGCCATCAGCACCCTGGTTGCAGGGTCACACTTGCCCCTCGCACCCTGCAGAGGAGAGGCTGTTTGCAGGGAATTTCAGCAATGCAGAATTCCAAATAAGCGGATTACGGACCCAAACGGCTCCTGGGGAGCCTGGCACGCCGACAGCAGCGGCGCTGAGCTTCTCCCTTCGGAGTTTTCAAGCACTTCGTGCAGGCCAGAAGAGAAACTAATCAGCTTGCTGGGTACTGCATGAAGGACAAACCAGTGGCCATGCTGGAGGGACGCGTTTAATTCCCTGGTGTGGATTTTCTGGCATGAAAATGCTAAAGAAGGCACTGAAATGCTGGCTAGGAGGGTTGTTGTCTGTACATCAGTCCCCTTGTCGGTGTCAGTCTTGTCATATAGCAGAGATGGGGCTGCTTCTGGAAAGCTTTATCTGGGATCCCCGGGGATGACATCATGGTTTCCACCACAAAATTCCCTCCATGAAGTTACACAAGGAGCAATTTACCTCTGAGCCCCCTTAGATCCTTTGGCACAACTCGAGCACGGAGCTGGGATGGGAAGGTGGGGAATTCAGCTTCAGGAGGACAACATCTTTGGTGCAGATCGTTGCCTCTCTGCAAGGTGCCTGGGTGGGATCCCGGCTCACGTAGGACATGACAGAGCCCTCCGAAGGAGTCACTGCTCCGTTTGACTGCGCAGCATTTCCTCGTTAAGGAGTTTTCTTCAGTAATTCTTCCCTGCTCTCTTAGGAGAAAGGTCTTCAACTGACGACACTCATGAAAACTGCCCCTTCCAACATGTGAGGATGATACCAAACGGGGGGAACCGCCGTACGGAGGATCCACCATCCAGAGGGATCCCAATGGCTTGGCAAGAGGCGCATGCAAGACTTTAAATTTGCCTTTGTAAATTTACCTTAAATTTACCTTTGTTGACTGCAGGAAGCAGCTTTGCAAGGAAGGAGCCGAGGATCTGGGAGCCTCGAGCTGATGAGAGTGTAGGCAGCAGGTTGAGGAAGGAGTTAAGTATCACTCTTGTTTGGCCCTTTTGAGACCCCGTCTAGGTTCTGGGTTGAGTTTAGGGCTACCAAAGATAGGAATGAACATACCGGAGCGAGCTAGTGAAGGCCACCAAGACCTGGAGCACAGGACGCGTGGGCGAGCTGGGCTTGTTCGCCTCTGGAGAGGAGAATATGGAGAGGGCATCCAGGTGCTGTGTGGGGTCAATGGGGATGTAGAGAAGACAGAGACTCTCCCCAGGACTGCACAACGTCAGGCACAAGTTGGAACAGGGGAAACGGTGACAACGGGGACGTTCTTCTCACCTGAGGGTGCTCGAACAGCAGAGCAGGAACCCAGAGAGCAGGAGAATCTCCAATCTCAATTGCGCAGAATGTCCTAAAAGGCGTAGGAATGATGGTGCTTCCTGCAAGAAGTGATCTCCTCTGTTCTTATAGAATTGAAGACAACAAGGACGTGGTGCCTCTTCCCTACAAAATCATTTGCTAGCAGTGCATAATAATTTGTGGTGCTCTTGTCTCAAATGGACAGAAAATGAGTTTTCCGTGGGAGCAGGTTGATCGGGCAGAAGTTGCTAAACAAAATGTAGCTGAAACAAAACTGCTTGGAGGTATCCTGATGGATCTACTCATCTGGGCATCTCTGCGGGTTATGGCCAGCTCACCTGAGGCTGTTCCTGGCAGAAATGCCGTGCAAAGGTGATTATCTTCTCATATATCAAATAATTGGTATGGCAGAGAGTGCCAAGTCCCACGTTCGTTTTATAAATGCCACATGATCTTGAAAGTAGCTCAAGTTTTGGAATAAAGCTTCAGGGAAATTTGATCGAAAATAGGAGATGAACATGTGGATGGAGCTCTTGAGGTTCCAGGATGCAGCTCTGCCAGAGGAAAGGTGCTGGTGGTGAGTGCAGCCGGGTGCAGGGAGGTCGCAGGGTTCCAGGTTCCAGGTGCTTTGTCTCTGGAATGGGAAGAGGAGTGATGGTTTCTGCGTATCTCCAGTCTCTACATGCTCCACTCACTGCTGATCCCAGACCCGGAAGATTTGAGAGTCTGGTGTCCCATATGGGGGCAAATTCCAAAGAGCATGACATACGAAATGCATTCAGCTGACTATGATGAGCTGGAGGCATCGCTAGTGACTAATTCACTGAGGACAGAAGCGAAAAGGCCTTGTGGTAAGGTTTTGGAACTTGAGAAATCTCTGCACAGGTACCTCGCTTGCTTTTGAGGAACCGTGAAGTTCTAGGTGTCCTCCAAGGCAGCCTAATTCCAGCACTGCTTGGATCCACCTGTGATCTCAGTAACCAAAATAAACAGGAAGGGAGATTTCTCACTCTTCCAAGCGCCGACTGAACGAAAAGCTCTTCGGTAGATGTCCATGTGAGTGACATAAACTAGAGTCAAGATGCAGGTTACCTAGCCAAAAGTTCGGAGGACACATTGGGAAGACGTGGAGAGTTACCATCACTGGCTGTAATTCACTCGTGTTCACATAGACACCCACACCCACTGCCCATATGTCATTTTAACAAGAAGCAGCTGGATTCTGTGAGACCTCTTAGGCTCCTTACTACTAAAAGAAGTGGGGCTGTCCTTCTCCTTCCCTTTTCTGTTAACCAAAAGAGCAACAGGAGGAAGAGCTTAAAGGAGATCCAGAAAGGCAAAAGATGAAGTGTATTTGTTACTTGTGGTAGAAGGGAAAAATCCAAAACCAAATCAAGGTTCTGTCTAGTCGATTTTTGAAGTCCTCCAAGGATGGAGATCTTCTGGGCACCCCGTTCCAGTGTTGCCCTACCCTCCTAATGCAGAAGCTTCTCCTAATACCTGGTGATGAGAGCTTCATACTCAGCCACGCTGACAACCAGGTCTTGTCAGCAGGGCTGCTGTTTGCCCCCATTCCCAGTCTGTGGAGACTTGTTATTTCGTTGAGAAAATCTCCACTTTGCACAAAGTGGACACATGACACTCAATACGAGTTTTGATGGAGACTTGTTATTTCGTTGAGAAAATGTCCACTTTGCACAAAGTGGAGTGTAGAGAGGTAGAGGAAGTTAAACCAGTCTCATGAGCTGGCACATGACACTCAATACGGGTTTTGGGTGTTTGCTGTCTTGACCAACAGTGCAGAGAACATGCGGGTTCTCCTTGTATGTGTGACCACTTCTTCAGTCTTACATGTGCTAAGTAGGGACTGAGGAGATGACAACACAGTGAAGACCCTGCAGGGCTTGAGGTAGGTTGTTGAAATGGAGATAGGTGGGAGCTAAGGGAGTCAGGAGAAGCTGACCATGAGGACCTGGCCCTTGTAAGTAGAAGGAAGGGCCCAACGGAGGATGCAGAGAGACAACTCGGCACCTGCGCATGCACCGATGCTCATCCATGGGCTGCTCAGCTGCACACCTCCGTTCAGCCGCATGGCCATGCTGCTGATGAGCAACCCAACCTCAGAGCTTGAAGTGGGAGATTGTTGCTCTGTACCAGGAACACCTCCTCCTCCCTGCCCTCCATTGCACATGATTTGGTTTTAGGCAATATTGTGTCCTGGCTCTGACCTCCTTTTCTTCCTCCAGCTGCCTCCTACACTGACAGCTCTGATGATGAGACCTCCCCCCGAGACAAGCAGCAGAAGAACTCCAAAGGCAGCAGTGATTTCTGTGTGAAAAACATAAAGCAGGCAGAATTTGGGCGTCGCGAGATCGAAATTGCCGAGCAAGGTAAGCGAGACCAGTTCCTTAAGTTCCATGTTGCTTTAGGGTTGGCTTCTTTGGGGAGGAATAACCCCAGACACCAGGACAGGCTGGGGACCAACCTGCTGGAGAGCAGCTCTGCAGAAGGACCTGGGTGTCCTGGTGGGTGACAAGGTGACCATGAGGCAGCAGTTGCCCTCGTGGCCAAGAGGCCAATGGAATCCTGGGGTGCGTTAAGAAGAGCATCTCCAGCAGGTCAGGGAGGGGATCCTGCCCCTCTGCTCAGCCCTGCCGAGGCCACATCTGCAGGATTGTGTCCAGTTCTGGGCTCCACAGGACAAGAGGGATGTGGAGCTGCTGGAGAGAGGCCAGCGCAGGGCCACAAGGATGATCAGGGGCCTGGAACATCTGCCCTGTGAGGAGAGGCTGAGGGAGCTGGGCCTGTTCAGCTGGAGAAGAGAAGGCTGAGAGGGGACCTGAGCAGTGTCTAGAAGTACCTCAAGGGAGGCAGTGAGGAGCTGGAACAGGCTGCCCAGAGAGGTTGTGGAGTCTCCTTCTCTGGAGATCTTCAAACCCGCTTGGACGCAGTCCTGTGCCACGTGCTCTAGGTGACCCTGCGTGTGCAGGGCTTGGACTGGATGATCCCTAGAGGTCCCTTCCAACCTTCACCATTCTATGATTCTATGATTTTATGATTCTTACTTCCCCCAAACCATCTCCTCTTCTTGTGACATCCCGTGTCTGGGATATTTCTCGACACCATTCCTGTTTGAAAAGGAAAACTCCAGCGGGATCCCGTGGCAAGGCGACCATCGGCAGCTTTGCTATGGCCCGATGATCTCCCCAAACTGCAAAGAGAGGCGACGCAGCCACGAGGCGCCCGGGGGGTGTTGGAGAGGCTGACCACGACTGCGAGCCCAAGGTCTCGGCTGCAGCAGCTGTCCCCCCAGCCTCCCTCCTGCTGCAGCACAGCTGCAAGTGTGAAAATGTGATTATTCTGCATCCTAAATAGCAGGGGAATAAACAGAATCGCTGGATTCTTTTCAGCCGCCGTGATGACTTGTTGTTTGGTGGCTGCTCCCAAGGCTTTGCTTTCCAAGCTGCCACAACTGCACAAACTCAAGGGCAGTGCCAGGGAGCAGAGCGGGAAGGGGCACCGGCCGGCTGTGTCTCTTGCCCTTCTTTAACACATTGATGGACTTGCTTTTCCTTCATCCCTTGCTTTTCCTTCATCCCTTGCTTTTCCTTTGTCCCTGCAGAAATGCCGGCGCTCATGGCTTTGAGGAAGAGAGCTCAGGGAGAGAAGCCCCTGGCCGGGGCCAAGATCGTGGGCTGCACACACATCACGGCGCAGACCGCGGTAAGAGCCCCACGACAGCCGCCGTCCGCCTGTGCCGCGGCCGACTGTCCTGTGGAGCAACACCTGGCCGGGGTGTCTGCTTGCTTTGTGCACGTTCCTGCTCAAAGGAAGATGGATTCACTCCGAGTCTGGGCTGTTCCAAGGGGTCCGGGAGGTTTTGCAGCCCGACACTTGCATCTCGTCTGTGCTGCTTGCGTCAATAATGTTGCTCAGTTGCCAGCGTGAGGCACGTTGGCAGGGACAAAGTGTGTTCTTGGGTAAAGCTGCTTAATAATGCGGCGAAGCGTTGGCACAGCTTGGTGACGGTTACAGCAGAGAGGCTAAATGCTCCTCCCTGGGGACTGCTCCGCTCTCTGCTTTGTTATAGGCCAGGAATATTCCATGTTAGCGGCTTAATGGGCAGGAACTTTCACTGTTTATCATCTAAAGTGTAGGTTGAAAGGATGGTATAGATCCGTGCTGTCAGCCTCAGGAGTCCTGCACCTTACACCAAGTATACCTGGTAAAAAAAGAACAATTTTGTGCATGTTTCTTGATATGCAGAGCCTGTGCTTAAAGGTGCGTGTGCCTAAGGCGTTACTTTGAGCCATGGTGCAGCATCGTCACCAAATCACAGTTTTGTACTCTGCTTTACTGAAAAGAAGTTGATATTTTGACTTTGCACAATAGTGAGCTGCCTTGGGCATGATCCGTATGGAATTGTTTTCCTTTCTGCTTTTTCCAGGTGCTCGTGGAGACGCTGGGTGCGCTGGGTGCCCAGTGCCGATGGGCTGCCTGCAACATCTACTCTACCCTTAACGAAGTGGCCGCGGCGCTGGCGGAGAGCGGTAGGAATCTCCCTTTATTCCTCCTACTTTGGAAAACATTTCTTCCTGGCCTGGCACATTTAGCTCATTTATACTCTCCGATCATATTTTCCTCCTATAAAATGTTTTCTTTTTTCATTTAGAATATATCTATAGAACTGAAATGCCTTCAATTACAGAAATAGTTCTTGAACTGTTTGAGGGATTGGAATATTGTAGGTCCGGGGAAGGAAAGGATATGTCAAACTTTGGACCAAAACCATCTTAACGAGCTCAATCTATAGGTACTGATTAGCTTTCTCTTGTTTTACTTTCAAAGCAGCAAAAAGCCCTGAACAACACAAGATCAATGTCTTCCAATGATTTTAAAATATTGGCCAAAATAGTTTTTCTCTGGAGTATAAATATACATAACAGAGACGATGGTGATGTGCATTGTTAGCCGTTAGAGCTACGTGAACATAAAATATTTTTCTAAGAGCAAATAAGGTAAAATTTGCTTTTATTTCTAAGAAGATAATGAATTCTTAAATTTGAATCCTATTATTGGCTAAAGAGGATGAGGGAGAGAACTTTTTCTGGACGCAATAGGAAAGATGTTGATGTTGCTGCTCCCCTGCCTTAATTCAAATCCTCCTTCATCTGGTGAAGGCCAAGGATTTTACTCTGAAACCTGGGATTTTACTCTGAACCCAAAGGAAGCTGAAGTCACCCCCTTGTCCATTACCTAGTTCCCCCCTCCTGCTCGCTGAACCTCTCCTGCTTTCTGGAATATGCCTGAGTAATAACTGCTCAGGAGCCAGAACATGCTGCAGTACATTTATGCTTATGTGTTTCACAGGGAGGTAATATAACTTGCAGCAAATGCTTTATTAGAGTATGTTTTATGTTTTACTATACTATTTTATACTTTATTTATAACAATACTATTTTATATATACTATCTATTTATAATTATTTATAACTTTATTTATAACTATTTATTTATAACTATTTATTTATAACCATTTATTTATAACCATTTATTTATAACCATTTATCTATAACTATTTATTTATAACTACTATTTATTTATAAAAATACTATTTTTATTTATAAAAGTACAATTTTACAATTACTTTATTAACTAAACGTTACCAACCCACATCGAGACTGTTATCCTCAGTGACCTCTTGCCTGGCAATTAGAGCATTTTCTTGGGAGAGAGGAAGAAATTAAAAAAAAAGTAGGAAAGTTGCTGTCTTGGTGAAAGAGCAAAGGCTGCTGCTTGGGCAGTTACTGATAATGGGAGATTTTTCCTGCTTTCCCGCCTGCTCCGGGTGTTGCTCCCGACGCTGTGTCCGCTGCGCTCATCCCTCTCGCTGTTCCCAGGGTTCCCGGTGTTTGCGTGGAAGGGAGAATCCGAGGACGATTTCTGGTGGTGCATCG